AACGACACACACACACACAGACAAACGCAACGCGTGCACCTCAGCCTTCCTCTCTGCAGCGGGAAACAACCGGACAACAGAAAAGAAAACAATAAAAGCAAAGAAGCAAGTCAACAAGCAGGCATTTTTCCCTTCTTTCATTTTTTTCCTTTGCCCTCCATTTTTTTTCTTGCCCTTTCTGCTTTCGTTTAAAACTTGCTTCCTTGGCGCCGTGGGTTCGCTCCCTGCCAACCTCTCACTCAAGCACACAGGTGCCGAGTGAACAAAAACAGGGCGGTGTATAAATTCGGTAAGGGCGTTACATGCAAAAACAAAATCCACACCGCCATGAACAGGCGCACAAAACCAGCAATAACCTTTTCTTCGGCCACCTTATGAACTCAGTTTACCTCTCCTGTTGAGTCCACCAACTGTTTCCCGCGCAGTTTCATCGCCTCCTCTCGGCGCAAATGGGCATCCACGTTCGCTGGGATGTGAAGCTGCTCGTCCAGCTTAGAGGCATGGTAATCGTGGGGCAGCTTCCGCGTAAGCGATGCGAGGGCGGTGTGGCGGTGACAGCCCATGACCGTCTCAAAGGTTTCATCATTTGTCCCAACCCCTGCAGCACACGCCTCAAGAAATGTCATCATTGCGGCATTGCGCGAGTCCCCAGCACGAATCAGCAGGTTGTACATCGTTGCGTTGGGCCTCACCGAGGGCTCCCCGTTGGGGTGGCGCAAGACGTGTTCCAAAAAGAGAGCCATGGCGGAGGCAAAATCTCCTTGGGGCAACGTCGCAAACATACGCATCATAATTTCCACCAACTCCGCCTTTTCCTCGCTTGTTAGTTGAAACCGCTTGCGAATAAAGAGAAAAACAGCCTCTGCCTGATCAATGTGATGGTCCCTGGCACATCGGCGCAGGAGTGAGGCCCATAGTGCGAACGGAATGGCACCATCCCTCTCTGGAAGGTCCATAGAGCGAAACTTCAACAATTGCATGGCACTTGGCATGGAGAGGCCACTCAAGAGGTCATTAATAACACCCCAAGGTGCAGTTCTCAACAGATCCGCCCCAATAAGGCGTCGAATGTCCTTAATTACCAGCTCACGAAGGCCACCATCCATTTTAATGGACTTTACTGTGACCATCAGCTTCACCAGAAGCTTCAACTGACACATCTGCACAAGCTTGTCCTCGCTTGGTTCGGTGAGACCCCCACGGTCAATGGCGCAAGGTAATTCCCCATTCGCGGGAACAACAACGACACCTTTACTGTTTGCGGTGTGAAAAAAACGCATGACTCGCTCCACATCACGATTCGCAGAGCACCACGTCAGAGCGGCATGGACGGCGGTATACGGTAGCGGGGCAGATGCAACCTCACAGGTTTTCACAAGAAGATCCCACCACTGATCGACTATCTTCCCTGCAGCCTCCATAACGGCACACGCAATAAACAAAGTCCCCCACAACTTATCTGTGATAAAGGATTCTCCCCTTGACTTCAAAGCATGACCAAAGTAATAAAACGCCGCATCAGCGGCCGGACGACTTGACTCACCACGTCCCGCGATAAGTGAGAGCATGATGGCAATGTAGGTGTCCACATTTGGCTCCAGCTGGTCATGATCCCGCATCACATCCAAAACCAGGCGTACATCAGCATCCGATTTGACAACCGAGCTTAAGAGAATCGCGTTGTAAAAGTCCAGCAGGGAACTTTCCCCATCATTCCCTCCGCCTACCCATCCCTCCATACACTCCAAGAGTTTCTCCCTCGTTAACTCGGCCTCAACGACGGCTCCAACGTCGGGTGTGGGGTTCCTCCGCAGGAGCTTCTGCAACGCATGTCGATGCGGGGAGAGCTTTGAGGTGAGAACCGCTTCGCGGTATAAACACTGACGATCCTCTAAGAGCGAGCCCAACGCACTGTGCAAGGAGCGGCAAGTCAACTTCACCTGTTCCCGCCGCGTATGCGCCGCAATGCACGCCTCCGTGGAGTAGGTCAGGCAACCGACGATGCAGGGCGACCGCCTGGCCACGCCCGCACGGCATCGAATGGAGGCCAGTCGAGGCCTCTTACCAAAAACCGCCCTCATCACATCTAAACCGGACCGGTGCGAGAGAAAGGAAGAAGGGAAATGCAGGCACCATCCAAGTGATCCATCCGCATGGGAGTATGCCTGCCCACCGCCCACCGTGCTCGTAGGCAGAAGAGCCACAAAAGGAAAAAAGCAAAAACAAAACGAAACACGCCTCACAGAGCGGAGCAAACTCCAACAACAAGAGCCAAAATCGCCGAATAGACAACAGCACAACCACACATATATTCACAAAGGAAGACCAAAAACGACATATATCAGAAGAGCAGAGCAGGGCGGCCAAGAAGAAATAAATAAATAAATAAAAGAAAAGGCCACATTGCGATGGAAGACGCCAGCTGCCAGCCGCATCTACAGGACAATGCATACCCCCATGAAACAGACAAATACAGAATGATACTCAAAGCAACAACATGTTTTTTTCCCCCCGATTGCATTCGACTCTAACGTCCAAGGAATGGCCGAAAGAGTGGTTGTCCTGTCGCCACATCTACGGTTGCTCTGAACAATCGCTCCTCTTCAAGCCGTTTACGACGATTTTGTTCATGACGCAGTAAACGGTCCTCTACAGAAAATTGTTTGGGAACATTCTCATTGGTTTGTGCTCCACTACCTCCACCGGACACTCGGCCTGCCAACTGCACCCCAGAGTTTTCTTCACGTTCCGCCGGTTCCTCACCCAACGCCAGGCCACGAACAACCAGGTTGAACATGCGAACCGATGCGGGGTTAACAGCAGGGGCGAAGGTGCATGCTTCTAATTCCCTTTCCTCATGCGATTTCGGAACGTTCAAGGTTTGGTTCCTCTGATTCGGCGGCCATGTTCGCAAACCACAAGAATTGGCTGGCATAGACTCCCTCTCGTGCTTATTCTGTCCCCTAACCTTGTTAATCTGCGGCCCAGGAATGATGGAGCGTTTTTCTTCCTCCTCCTTCCGTTGATGTTCTTTAATCCGCTTTTCCTGCATACGATGCTGCTGATCCACCGCTTGCTCGTACAGACGTTGCCCTACTGTCTCTCGAGGCAAGCCCTCCCTCTGGCGGGGAAGGATTTTCGGCTTAACGACGCATTCTGCCTCCGCAGCGGCGTGGGCTTTTGACAACCTTGGAGTGTGCGCATGCAGACGGGCATACGTAGGGCCCTGACGACGTGCTAAATCCTGTGCGGCCAATTGCCTACTCCGTGGTGCAAGAGAAGGTTTGAACGCTGGCATGGGCTCCTCTTGAAGAGGCGTAGTTTTGCGGCTCCTTGAGGCACTAAGACTTCGACGCGGTTCTGTTGAATTGTGTCGTGAAACCACCAGGGCGCTACCTCGATTTAGGGGCCGTACCCTCGGCACACTATTTGTGCGTCTTATTGTGGGCTTTATGGCTTCCACCTCCACCGCCTTCACCTCGGGTGGAGTTCTCTTTTGGACTGAAAGCTCGAGTGCCTCGGCACCAGTTTCTATGCTGCGCCGCGACGGAGTATCGCCGCGACTGCATTCTTGTAACTGCGTATTTGTTTGCTTCTGGCCAATGACGCTTAGACGCTTTGGAACAGTTACTGGCGTGTTCCTCTGCTGTTCACGCTCCGGCGGACTGGCCGTTTTCCTCTGGGACCGGCCTGACAACGCCGACTTCCCCTGCGCCACCGTAGGACCCGCCACGTGTTTCTCGAATTGTGAAATCCCATGCGCAGCAGCCATCCTCCGAGTTTTTCCCATGGAGACGCCTCTTGGGGAATGCCGCGGGGCAGGATCGAGGCCCTGAGGACGTGCTGCCTTTTCATCCGCGGCATTGTTCGTCCCGGCCCCAGACACATGACTCGAGAACGTCGGGCACCCATGCTTCCCGCCGCAGCTGCCTCTACAAGAAGGAGCGCGGTTAATGTTGTTAGGGGCGGTGGCGACGGCGCTGTTGCCGCCTCCTGGAGGAGCCCCACCTTCCGCTGCGGACTCCTGGGCCTGGTTGCGCGCTTCACCGCAGTCAAGCGACAACAGAAACGCATGAAGTGGTCTTAAGGCCCGTTGCATGTCCAAACCATGCTTCGTAATAAAGCTCCGTGCTACCTCCTCCATTTCATCGCCTGCAAACAACTCTAGTTTTTCATAGACGCCTGAAGCGATTTCAATGTCCACCACGCGCAGCGGACGAAGAAAGGTTGCAAGAGAAAAAACGGCGCCTCGCAGCTCTAACTGAGCTTTGGAAGCCTCTACTGACGGTTCACGCAAGCTTCCAGTCGTAGCCGGCCCAGACGCCAAAGGGACTTGACGCCTTCCTTCCGACACGGTGGTGTTCGTCGGGTCATTGACATCGGCCCAAGGCGAATCTACTCTATGCGATTGATAATATTGTCGTTTTGAAACGTGTGTGAAGTCCGCGTCAGGCGTGTACCGTGCATTACTGCAAGACGGGGCAGCAAGATCCGTTGGCTCCGCATCCGTATCACTCAGAGGATTCACGCGACACCTGCTTGCAGCGGAACGATGGGCGGCAATGTCCACGTTTTGGAGATCCAACACGGAGCAAAAGCGCCCGCTCTCGCGCGTCGGAAGCGCAGGGACTACGCGCTGGGGCATCAAACGCAATTCCTCCTCCCGAATGGCCGCCAGGCGCGCCTCAACCCTCTGAATCTCGTCACTGAGGTCTGAAAGAACGGTTGTGTCGTGCAGCGCGGACGCGTCTACCCCGGAGGCACCGCGGTCATGTTCGGAGACGCGAGACGACGCCGAGGACTCCGGAGGCACCGGCGCTGCACGCGAAGGAGAGGGCCGCAACCTTCGCGCCTGGTCGGCGCGCCACACAACACCCTCCGGTGTCGACAACAGCGACGACGCGGAACCACCAGTCGCTCCGTGCGGAATCGCAGCAGGCAACGGGGCACCTTCGCCGCTCTGCATCCTTCTCCCTCGCCCTCGGCGTATTCGGTCAACGCCTCTTCCTTATGCGCTGAAAACACCCAAAACCACCAAGCGGTATCAGGCGCAACCATGTGCTCCAAACACCCAATAAAAAAAACATGAACAAACAACGGGGAAAAAAACAACACAAGAACAAAACAACTAAAAAAACATAAAAAAAAGAACCGCAACCAAAAAACACTTCCTCTTTTTCCCCTTCCCACTCTCTTAATACACACATATATGTATATATATACATATATATATATATATACCAACACACAAATAAGAAGCATAGCTCACTTTAAATAACTTCAAAAGTCACACAATGCCTCCAAAACCACATATCCCAGTTTCTTTTTTCTTTTCACCTCTCGTTCTCAGCCACCGGTCGAAAGTCATGGCCAATTCGTTGTGGTCTTGCAGCTCGTGACGAAAACACCTGTGGAGCACATCCCGCGCACACGCGTCATGTCATTAGCGGAGGAAAGGTCAAACCAGTGCAGCACCGTCGGGGCAACGTCGGCGAGTGTCGCGTCCTCAGCTATGGGGCCGAAACGCACGAGGCCGCCTCTCGCGTACGCCGCCATCACTAGCGGGACCCTTTCCAGACCACCGCCCCCCGCACCAACCAGCATGATCAGCCAGCTCTCCTTCGTCGTGCTGGAGCGCTCAATGACGGCAAGCGCGAGCTTCCCCACGTGTGCCGTCCACTGACGCTGATGTCGCTCATGGCCGGCCACTGCGCTCCTCGTCCGTGGTGGCCGCGCCG